GTTGTTTTTAATGGGGTTTATTTCTTGCTTTCTACGACTGATGGATTGATTCACTTGTGTACTATATACATCATTCATCGTGTTCCTCCAGATATATGATGAAAAGGTTGCTGTCTAGTTAGATTCTTTATGAATCAACCGGTTGTTTGTCTGTCTTTTGTTGCTTAAAGGGTTCTAAGATTAACAGTAAAAGTTAATTTGGATGACCTTTACTCCTTTAGCTGAGAAGAAAAAAACAAACTTTGTCATGTACCTAATTCTAGTGATCTGATTAGATTGATTGGTGGAACCTTTATAATTAAGCTTTTTACTGAGTGCTAATTGGAAGTAGTACTTGTGTATTTACTGTTAGAGCACACTAGAGACTTTTGTTATTGTATTTCTTGGTTTTGCTTCACAGACTTTCGATATGAGTCTAAAGGTAAAGTAATAGCTTGTGTCCAAAATAAAATTGAGTGTCTTAAAGCGTTTTTCTGAGCTTGAAAATTTCATTAGAATTCTTGTAAGGATGTATTATAATCAATTCGTTTCTACTCCTTTTAAATAAATTAAGCATGTCCATTGTTGGAGTAAAAATAATTCTCTTTGTTTTATTTATGTAGACTAATATAATAAATAAACCCAGTTTCTGAACAAAGTGAGTTAATGCATATATATTGCAGAAACCAAGCGTATGAATAAAGTAATGTATTGACAAACTTTTTCTCAATTTCTGTTTACTTGTATAGAGAATTGGATATTTATTATTGTGCACATTAGACCAGATTATCATGCACTTAAAATTAAAATTTACTTGTACTCACATATGGTTTGTTTAGATAGATTCTCAAGAGAAGGCAACGCAATGGAGGGCGTTAATAATTCTAATTCGGAACAAGTTTCGACAGTTGTTGAGCTGGACCTCAGCCTGAGCATGAACAACAACAACAACAACCCTGCACGCGTGTTCTCGTGCAACTACTGCCGGCGCAAGTTCTACAGCTCGCAGGCTCTCGGGGGCCATCAGAACGCGCACAAGCGCGAACGAACCCTCGCCAAGCGTGCAGTCCGCATGGCGATGTTCTCCAACCGATACGCCAGCCTGGCGTCCCTTCCCCTCCTCGGGATCGAGGCCCACGGGGCCCACAGCCACAACCACAACCACAACCAGGAGAGGTTGTTTCGTGCGCCTAGGTTTGTTGACCGGCCGAGGATGCCATTGCCAGCTGTGTTTGTGGAGTACGAGGAGCTGACGTGGCCCGGGAGCTTCCGGCAGGTCCATAGGGATGGGGATGGACCATCCTCGTCCCGTCTTCCCGATTTGAATTTGAAACTTTGATGACTTGTTAGTTATATATTGGTGTACAT